CGAGAGGCGGTGCGTTTCCCGGGGGGGGGGGGGCAATTTAGAAGTGCTGGTTCTTAACCACCCCTGCTCTAACTGCTAGACCGTTCTGCCACTCCAGGGCCCCTCTCACTTTCCCTGGAGTCCCTAGGAGAGAGCCAGGACAAAATAGCTCCTTGGTTTGTTTCTTGGCGGTCCAGCACCCAGGCTATAATTTTCAAGCTGTTTCCAGGCCAGGAGGAACAGACCTGGTAGGCAGAGGCTTTTGTTCCTTGCTGCCCAAGGTGCCTGGACTGAGGAGGTTGGCAGAGGAAGGGATTGCCTTTATAAAATCAACTAAAGCAGTGGCTCCTTGCAATACAATAGCCTGGCTGCAATTCCTGGGGCCCCGAGGCTTGGGCTGCCTGGACTGAGGGGATATTCTCTGATGCTCAGAGACCCTGTAGCTTGCTGTGGGTTGCGGCAGTGCCAGGGCTGCTGCACTGTTGTGTTTTTCTTGCCAGTAAATCACTTTGAGTGGGACCTGAGGTCCCCCTGCAGTGAGCACCCAGCATCCTGCACCACGGCTTCCCATGTCGCTCTGCAGGCCTCGGTGGGCAACGGCGCTAGCTGCCTGAGCCATTTTGTGGAAGGACGGCTGCACGGCTGGGTAGGGTGCTGGAGGAGTGCCTGCCCCAGGGGGATTCCCTGGGAATAGACCTGCCAGTGAAAAGCCAGTGAAAAGGGGCTCAGGGAGCCATGTCTGTGCTGACATTCGCCCCCGGTTTGCTGGGGACTGAGCACATCTCTTGCTTTTGGCCAATAGAGCACCAGGTGCTTTACAAAAGAGGGCAGCATTATTGTTCCCATTTCACCGGTGAGGAAAGTGAGGTACAGAGAAGTGAAGACACATGCCCAACATTACCCAGAAGGCCAGAGCAAGGAACAGAGTTCAGTGTTTCTGAGTCCTGAGTGTTCTGTCCACTAGGCCTTCCTGCCCCCCTGCTTCTGTCCTACTGCCACCTGGTTCTCGGGGTATACTCCAAAGACAAGGGATTTGCTTTTTTCTGAAGCCTGGGGTGCCAGGAGTCAGCCTCCAGCAGAAGCAAGAGGCCATAAGAACAGCCATACTGGGTAAGACCAACGGCACATCTAGTCCCACAGTGGCCAGTGCCAAGTGCTTCTGTGGGAATGAACCAAATAGCCAATCATTGAGTGTTCCCGCCCCTGTCCTCAGCAGAAAGGGCAGATTCCCTGTCAGTTCCAACAGCAGGTCCCCCTCAGTCAAACACTGCTCCTGCCAATTACTGTGGCAGGAGTAGCCCTGGGTATCCTGGACAGATAAACAGGAGGTCAATGGGTAACAGGTTTAAAACTAATAAAAGAAAGTTCTTCACACAGCGCGTAGTCAACCTGTGGAACTCCTTGCCAGAGGAGGCTGTGAAGGCTGGGACTATAACAGAGTTTAAAGAGAAGCTAGATAATTTCCTGGAGGTTAGGTCCACAAAAGGCTATTAGCCAGGGGATAAAATGGTGTCCCTGGCCTCTGTTTGTCAGAGGCTGGAGAGAGATGGCAGGAGACAAATCGCTTGATCATTGTCTTCGGTCCACCCTCTCTGGGGCACCTGGTACTGGCCACTGTCGGCAGACAGGCTACTGGGCTAGAAGGACCTTTGGTCTGACCCAGTATGGCCATTCTTATGTTCTTATGTAATACTGCAAGAATGATAGGATAGAAACCAAGCCTTAGTAAAGCAACTGCTTGCCTGATTCCTCCTATCCCCATTCTTAAGGCTCTTTTGATTTCAGCTGCTTAACTAAAGAAAAGGGCTCAAGAGTTGAATTTAGTTTTATAGCGTTTTGTAAAATACCCATAACAACAGTTAATGAACAGTACAGGAGATAAGAAGGCAAACATGGATTCCTCCATGGTTCCCTGTTCTGTTCATTGCCTTTGGGGCGCCTGGCATTGGCTACTGTAGGAAGACAGACCACTGGGCTAGATGGAGCTCTGGTCTGATGCAGTCTGGCTGTTTTTATATTTTTATGTTTTGGACTAAGACATGGCTAGTGCCAACTAGAAAATTGGTCAATATAACCATGTAGAATTTCAGAACCAAATTACACAGCCACAAGAGACCATAACCCTTATCCTTGGTCACTAGGTAGAAATGCCGACTAGGTTTAGATTTTTGACTAAAAAATCATGGACCTTCTTCAGGTTTGGGGGGGATGCCCCCAATGTCCATGATCTCTGCACTAGATGGAGGATAGCTGCCAGCCTGGCCTCCAAAGGCCACATGCGAACCCAGGAGAAGGTTTGCACAAAAATCAAGTTGGTCTGGCGAGACCCCCAACCCTGAGCCCTGAGCTTCCCCTCCCGCTTCTTCCTCTTGCTTCCCCCTTCCAGCTCCCTCCTCCCAGGTTTCCCCCTCCCCTCTCCCACCCTCTCTCTTCCCCCTCCCACCTCCTTTTCCCAGTCTCCCCAGAGGTTCATCCCCCCAAGTTTTGTTCAATAAACCCAGTTTCTATTTTTGAACATACGTGTCTTTTGTTTGACATCAGGAAGGGGGGCTAGAAAGGGGTAAATGGAAGGATGTGAGGGAAGAATGGGGCACGAGACCCACAGTGGGGAGGACTGGGGTGGCTCTGAGGGCTCCTCAGTGTGGACGCTCTCCCGCAGGGCCTCCTGGATCCTGACAGCCCCCCGATGGACTCCCCGGATGGCAGCCTGCAGCAAGTGCAGCCGGGCTGATGGCAATGACCCCACAAGATGCACCGACATGCCCAGGGCTCCATGTGGCCGAGTGCTGTGGTGTCCTGAGTGCGGGCACTCAGCGCACTCCAAGACAGGACTGCTTAGCTGTCCCTCATCGAGGTAGACAAGCAAGCGAGGAACCCTGAGAACTGTCTGTCCGGGGTGGGGGTAGGGTCCTTTTAAGTACAGAGCTCAGTTAATCTCAGGCATCAGCCCCACACACTAAGTCCTAACCTGATGCCCTGCTGGCACTGGTTCTGGCCAGCCTTAACTTCGGTTCAGGGTCCACTTAGTGTGGACGCACTACTTCGAAATAGCAAAACACTATTTCGAAATAGATTTTGTGTGTAGATGTGTTAATTTGATTAGCTTAATTTGAATTAACTATTTTGAATTAAGTTAACTCGAATTAACGCTGTAGTGTAGACGTACCCTCACAGAAAAGTCCAAGAAACTCAAAGATAAAGAAAATAACCCAATCTAGACTTACTAAACATTACCTGTTCTCAGAGCCCTTTTTGTAAAAAAAAAAAAAAAAAAGTGCTGGTACCCCAGCTGACTGTTGGACATTTGCGTACAGAGGTGCTGGTATGTTCCGTTCTTTCCAGGTAAGCTTTGACTAGAGATGCCGGTACTGTGTCTGGAGGTGTCGGTACTGCATGCCAGGCAATACCATCACAAAAAAAGCACTGCCTGTTCTACTCACATATCAGTTGTTCCCAGATTTAGTCCTTTCTAAGGCATGGATGTCGCTGAATAGTCCATGCCTTGCTCCCTGGCTCAGTTCATGTCTTCTGGTCACACAAAGACTGCGAGGTGTTCTGCCCATGAATCAGAGAATACAGCCACGTTGTCCATATAGCCTAGTGCAAATTCTCCAGCTCCAGCTAGCAGATTATCTACAAGTCTTTCGAAACTAGTGGGTGCATTGCACAGCCCCAAAGGAACATTAAATTCATAGAGCCCTATATGTCTAATGAAGGCTGACCTTTCCTTGGCTGATTCATCCAGCCATACTTGCCAGTATCCTTTGGCCTAAAGTGAAGATGAACAGGGTGCATCCCAATTTCTTCAATAGCTCATCTGTGTGGTATTGGATAGTTTTCTGGCTACGTTACAGCATTTAACTTATGATAGTCACAAAGTCAGATTTTTCCATCCGCTTTGGGAACTAGGACCCCTGGAGAGGCCCAGTCACTCGTAGGGGGTGGATTACACCCATCTCTAATATATCCTTGACCTCCTTCTCTATGATGGTTTTGGCCGAAGAAGCCATCCAGTAGGGTTGGGCTGTGACTGGGTGAGCATCACTTG